CAGATGGAAGATAAAATTTCAAGCAAAAATTTGTGGATAAAGATCTATTGGCTGTTTGCAAGAGAAGTACATTATTTTTTAAAATCTCTCAGATATTATAACTTACTTATCTATGAATCTGCTCCTCAAATAACAAGCATTACAAGATTTAACTATAGTGGGTCAAACTCCATTGACCCTTTTCTTTCATACTCTCATCACTAGTATTAATTCCAAAACCTGCCCCACAGAAAATTAAGACAAATACTCTAGTTAGAGTCAATTCTCTTTAGATATTTCATTTGCCGTTCTTCTTTTGCTTCATTTCTTTTTCTAGCTTAGAATGCAGATGAGAAATGTTTTGAGAAATTAATCTGGTTTTAGAGTTTGTTCTTCCCCTAAAGCCATCAGATTCTACATCTGCTATTAACCTACACACTGTGAAAATGGCCTATGTGTTTTTAAAGATCATTTTGATGTCACGGTAGATTTTATGTTTATTTGAGCAATAAATAAATAGTGCCATGAAGATTTAGCCAAAAATTATTATTTTCATGCATACATTTTCACCAACAAAATATTATTCATGTCAGTAGGATTGCCTGAAAATACAAGTTTTGACAAAGATTCTATGAAATAACAGTGGAATTATCCTAGTGTTACTTAAACAAAAATGTGCATCAATTTATCTTAAGGCAAGAATGAATCACTTTTTTAAAATGCAGTTCTTATTATTTCATGTTCACCTGGCGCCATCTTGTGGGTTTCAGAACTCATGCACGACTACTTTGTGCAGCATAATGTCACCAGCTTTCTGAAAACTGTGCTATTTTAACTGTCATCAGCTCATAAAGGTCAAAACAGCTTGAATGTTAGTGATGTTTTCTACGTCATAACTCAATACACTTATAAGCTTGTCCTTGCGAGAACTTCTCGAGGTGAAGAGCATTTAATGTACTTTACATAAGATACAGCCCTTATATGTGGGCAGACAGGCCACAGCTAAGGTCTTCTGATTCTTTCCTGCTATATTTACATATTAGGGAGAAAAAAAAATCATGGCTTATACACCCATTCATTCCAAATATATGACAAAAATCAAAATCTGATGACAGGCCTTCTGAACCACACAGATCATGGGTCTTCCATGCAGCAAGTCTTGATGTAGCTTTCAATACGTATGATTGAACTAAAGCATATCTTTGACTGAGACTTTGAAAATCTAGTAGAACACTCTGTAGGTTATTTCCAAACCTATTTTTAAATTGCACCACAGTTCTAGGGTCCACAATATCCAGCTTAATCTCCTTATTATATCTTTACCTATCAAACTGAAAAGTTCTCTACTAAATTTCTGCTTCCTCTTACTCTGTTTTTACTGTTCTCAAGACATCCCTTAAGCCTGTCTTTGACAAATGAAGTACCTGTTTTCTGTAGGCTGTATTCCTAACTAAAAATTCACTGCTATTCATCTCCCCTTTTGTGTTTGATACACACAGATTGAAGGCTAGGTGGGTAGACAAAAAAGCTGTTCATTCTCTTTCCGCTAGCCAAATTGTAGCTTTCTTCCTTAATTGTAGATTTATGGGGGTTTGGGCACTTACCGAAATTAAACAATCATCTGTTTTCATTGACATTCTTGGCCTACTTATCTCATAAAAAGCACCTAATTTTTTTAAATACTCCCTTGTTAAGTCCACATAAACTTTTGGTTGTAATTCAGAGGAAAGCTTAATATTAATTGCTGCTGCTGCTTGATCATACTTAGGTTAGTACTTAATTAGATCACTAGACCTTGTTAGCACTGGTATTAGGAGACTTCCAGAACTTACACTGAATGAGAACATGACTGGGTTTTCCTAGGTAGGTGCTGAAAAAGCCCCATTTTTCTGATGAAACTGGACTGCTTGATAAATGTCTTCTCCTGCCTTCATTAGCTTCATATTTGATTGCTTTCTCTCCTTCCTGAAATGAAAGAGTTTTGTTTTACTTTATCTGAGAATTGTCCCCTCAAAAATCTTTGGTTACTGAAAGTTACGTTCTACGTGTATTTATTTCTTCACCATTATTAAGCACATCAGTCTTGCATACAGTTTGCTGTATCATCCCAGTATTTCAACTTAAACTGTAAATTATTTAGGGTAAAAATGAGCTTTTTGTTATTTTCAGTGATGCTTCATGCAACAGACAGCACATCAAGCAATAAGATTGCAAATACAGCCACATATATGTTTTAGTTGTCCATAATTCAGACAGCTTTTCCCTGGTTAATGATTTGAGTCTTTTCGTCCACATGTATTTTTGTCCTGTATTACACTGGTTGTGTCACTAATAGTGTCCAATTTGTTAACCAAGTTCTGGTAAGGAGAGCATGTTCTGTCACAGCAGAGTTAATACTCAGTTAGTTTGTAACATGTTTTTTTCTGCACAGATGGTCCACTGCATGATGACCTGTGTTAAGCTATCATACCCTCCTTCACACTTCATTCTGTTTCCCTACTTGGACATCATTGTACAGTATTTGTAAAAATAGTTTGTTTTTCTTCCTCACTAGCAACAATATAATCTGTATCTCTTTACATAAACTATTTCTTTAGATATGGCACAACATCAAATTTGAGATAAATCGTGGAAATCCAAGAAATCCCCTTCATCTATTCAGAACATTGCTGCTTATCATTATACTTTTATTCATATTGCATTTGACAGCTTTTTTAATTGCCTTTAGCATTATTTCTACACCAAATAGTGTTGGAACCTGGAAGATTGCCACAGTTTGCTTTCCCAAAGGCTGAGCAAACCTGGCCTTGACCACATCCAAAATTGTGCCTCTGGAAATCTTTGGGGAATTTTACTTATCTGTCAAAGAGGAAGAAAAGATTAAATTGATTTAATGAAATACAATGCAATGAAATGGAATTTAATTTTCTCCCTGAAACATAGCTTGATTATAAGACTGAATAACAATATAATATTATGTATGAATGCAGCACATGACATTGAAGCATTTCAGTATGCAAGACAAAGAATAATCCTTTTTTAATCACAGTTTTACCATAACAACCAGACAGGTCCAGAGATATTCAGTGATTCCCCCACACTGTTTCAATGAAGAAAGCCAATGTCAGTCAGAAAATATATCAAGCTCTTCTGATAGCTAACTCTATGCCCAGACCACAAAGCCACGAACTCTTGTAGTTTTATCACGTGTGACTTCATACGAATTTTAATTCTCTATCCATTTTTTTTATCTTTACAGCTGCATTTTAAAAAATTATTTATAAGACAATCTTGCAATTTCATCCATAGTTTCAAAATGGAACTTGATAGTCTTGTGTATTAATTTTCCTTTTGATGGAAAAATGAAGTGTTGTTCTATGTGTTTTCAAATAATATGTCAAATGAAAGAATGAGATTGTGGTTTGGGAAAAATTGTGGGGTTTTTATATCTGTTATTTGTTGCTAGACAACTTGGGATAATTCTTCCTTAATAATTTAAATTGCTGCACTCACATCTATCAGTTCAATGATAATTTATCCATAAACCCCCTTAAGTAAAAAAACTATACCAATGGTTCTGACACTGGTTTGGTAGCTGCCACATATCTTTTTGAGCTGTTTTAATCTTTTTCCGTTTTTCTAGTTTATATTCCTTCCTTCCGCTGATTCTCCTATTAGTGATCTTCTCACTTTAAATTTTTCAAAGAGAAAAATTGAAGCAGTCTTCAAATTCCTGCCAGAAAACCCTTCTGGGTTTTTTTTTTTGACAAGATAAATATCTTGACAATATAGTTTTATTTCAAGTTCAGCATAGTTTTCGTGCAAATGTTAACTCAGTAGTACCTAATAACACCACCATTTATATACAGGGTGAGCACAGATGTTGAGTATTTGTATGCACTTCTGCTAGAGTACTCTTAATAACAGTAATGTAACCATATTTTCAGCCTGAGTAAATGTAATTGCTTTCAACGCTGTGTTTTCAGAAGGTCTATTTATTCAGCTAATAAAAGTGAAGTCACGCAGAATACTAATATGCCAGCGCGTGTGTGTGTGAAACCTGAGGCACCATCCCTTACGATCCATACACTTTCAGGGATTGCTGGAGATTTAACACCAGCTGAAAGCCAGTGTGAACAAAGAACTGATGGTTTCAGCCTGCGAATGAAGTATAACAATTCCTTTTAACCTGCTACCAGCCTCCTTTTACCTTTTGTGCCCCCGAGGCCTTGCAGGACACGACTGCACAGAAGCCCGGAGGCAGTTTTATGAGCAGTGTCCCAGAGAGATGTCTGAGGTTTCCCTCGGGGGGGGGCACACACCTGCAAGGCCCCTTCTTCCTCGTCCGACTGCAGGGAGCCCCTGCCCCACAGGGCCTGCTGCTCTCAAAGCACCCCTAAAGGATCAGACAGCACTGGGACGGCAAGACCCAACTACGTGAGGTGATTTTCTTCGTATTAAGGCCAGAGGCAGGTGCCAGGGTTGCTCAGCGCCGAGCCCCGGCGGGAAGGCGCCCCCAGTGCCGCTCCCGCCGCCACAGCGCCTTAGCCCCGCCCATTCGCTTTCTCTCCTCCGATTGGCTCCTCCGTTCCCACCCTTCGCCAATCGCCGACCGCGCTCCGTAACGCAGCTCCTTCCCCTTCCCGCGCCCACTGCCGCCCGCGCGCCGCGAGG